TTGTATTGCATTGTATTGACATATTATTGCCTTATTTCGAGCAATAGTGTAAATGATTTCCCCTCAGGAATATCTTCTAAAACATAACATTCCCTAACCCTGGCTTCGGGGATAGTAAATTTCAGAGGATATTCCCTTGGGGAAATAACTTACACTATTGCCCTCAATGGCAGTCACTATTTGTATACTGTAATATGACAAAAGTATTCAGATACTCAAATCACCCTTTTTATGCTTTTATAATAGAAAAGGATATATGGGCCAATTTCCCATATTATGCTAAGTTAGTATTTGTCCCAAAACCTAATACTGTCCTCTGCTTAATAATAGGCCTAGTGCATGCAAAATACATTGATTTAACGGGGCAATTTGTAGATTTGTTTCTTTTTTGTAGTTACGTTTTTGCAATTTTTGCAAGTGGCTCAATTCGTGCCAGGAGTACAATTTAAATGTGCAGCATGCATCCGTTATTCGCGATTTTACACAAACACAAATGTCTGCAGCACCCTATAGCGAAAGGGAATAAATGTTGTATTTTTATTACCTCTTTGGGTTATACTCCACATACTTGCGGAATTAAGTTAACATCAATCGATAATATTAAGTGAAAAATTAAAAAATTGCAAATTTATGAATAGTTAAACACCCAAATAGAAATTTTGTAGACAAACTGCCTAAGGTAGAAAATGAAAAAAATATTTTGTGAAAACACTTCATTATATAAATGAATGAAATAGAGTTATTAAAATTTCCGCAAGTATTCGGATCTAAATTTCTTCAATATAAGTTCGAATATTAATCCGATATTTATTGGTTAAAATTCATAGTTTGAACGGGGAAAATGTGTAACTTGTTTTTGAAATGTACCTAGTGACATACCCCAATTCTTGTGACACTTATACAAAGTCCCATAAGTTCATATATTTCACATAAATATGAATGTAATAAGTTCTGATGACATCGTCACCGTTATCTCAACAATTCGGTTTGTTATCTAAGGTTGTGATTCGACAACAGGATAAGCTGTGAAAAACTTGTACTGTACTTGAAAGTTGATAAAATAAGTTAAGTATTTCTTCTAAGAAGCAGATCTGAAATCTCATATACAAAGAAAATAAATGTCGATTAAAATTCTAAAGTGGCTTAGCCTCTGGCTCTGATATTCTCAAACACATTATACAAATAAAAGTTCATACTTTTTTCGGTGAATACCTGTTCATCTTTCAATGATTTTAGCAAGGTTTATTCCCCCAAAGCGCCAGAGGAATACACATTCACGGTGCCCATGTCAAGCTGCGCGCCTACTTACAGGTAGGCGCGCAGTTTGTTTCGATCACAAACTGCGTGCCTAAGAACATTGCATCATTTAAGTTGGAGTCTGTATTTTCAAACGTAATTTAAAGACATTTATCCTGCATTGTTTTCTTGTTCAATGCGTTCATTCTGTGGCGAATATACGAATCTTGCAAATACTAGCAAAAACTATGTGCAAATGAATCTAAGTTTTAAAACATAAGCAGATTAAAGGCATTTTCGTCACTGATTTAACGGGAATGTATATAGTAAATCGATCTAGCACTTTAAACATAAATGACAAATACTTTAGACTCGTTTTATATTTAATTCCTTACACATTTATCATGTATAATTCAAAATATTTCGAGATAAAACAGATAATCAGGAGATTAAAAAGAAATAATTCACAAACTGCGTGCCTATTTTAGCCAGAAATTACAAACTGTGCGCATACACTATTAAAACTACATATTATCATTTGAATTTCTACAGAGGCACGTGTAGGTGTTTTTCATGTAGCTTTGGAAATTTTGCTTTATCATCAGATTTTATGAGATTTTCATATTGAAAGTCAAAATGTATAATAGAAGTGTCAATTAAGTTGGGAACGAAAAAAACTTTTATTTTCAGATCACCATCTTGGTGGATGGACTCTCATAGTGTTTCAATTATGGGGTTCTACTATTAGACACATATGTGCCTTGTATGGCGCTTATGTTTTCTAATAATACAAAACAAGCTTGGATAAGCGAGCAGTTTGGAAATATTAGGCACGCAGTTTGGGAAATACATGTGAATATAGGCGCGCAGTTTGACAAGAAAAATGTTTAAATCACGTTTATGGCGTATTATCGTTTTGAACACAAACTTTGCTGATTTAATCAGATGGAGGGATCCTATATATTCTAGCATACACAGACACAATGGCTGAATAAACGGCAAATGACGATAAAAAGACATAGATATAACTTTACACTGTAAATTTTGAACACAGAAGTTACTTAAGACCCTTATATTGAGATAACTAGGTTTAAAGCGGGAAAAACATTGAGTACTTTGAGTAAATTAAATTCATCTTCACAGAATGGTACTATCTTTAGAACGAGACTAACCTTGTATTTTTCGTATTTTGGCTCTTTTTGGGAGTCATGTCCTCCTCGTCTCACATTTTGAAATATGCGCGCAGTTTGTCAGAGTTTCAAACTGCGTGCCTAGTAGGCACACTGCTTGACATGGGCATCGTGACATTGCGGAATCATTTAAAGTGCAACAGGTATTCACTTAAATAGAATGAAATATTTGTTTTATTATTCACTGTTATATTCAACACTCTCTCACTGTTGGGAATGTCTTAGAAGAACAAGAATGATTAGATTTTTTGTATCACTTTCAGATTTACATTGGAGGAAATGATACAACTGGTGAAAACGCCCATTGAACACGCCTTTTTTTCTGACCTTTTTTTCCGTGTAGACCGATGAGAGAGTGGGGAATATGACATTGATATAATAATAATTTATTTTCACTTTTTTAATGCAAAACATTGTCACTTTTGAAAAGACTATACAAGATGCACAAGGTTTTTTCAGAAAGGGAGAACTTGATTATAATAGTTCTTTGATAGTGTAAGTTACAAATTATAAAATTTTATTCATTTTGAAATTAAATAAAAACAACTGCCAATATTTCACTATATTGCCCTTTTAAATGACATTAGTGTTATTACCACCGTTAATGACCAAGACTGAAACAGCAAGAAAATCTTACGCACTAAACGATATCTAATTTCCCGGGGAAAATTGCCGGTCATTAATTGGATTCTTGACCACCACTATGACGTCACATATTGCTCAGGTCGATATAGTAAAATGAATGCCTTCTAAACTAGCACTTAAAACCCCTAGAACTGGCCCGGCAAGGTGGTAATAATCATCATAAAAATCGTAATAGCCTCATTCCTGCACCAGAACACATTTTGCTTTGGGAATCCCCGTTCAAGAATTTACCTTTTTTTGTGAAATGGTCAAAAGAAAATGTTTTACGAGTCAGAGGCAAGTACAAACTAATTTGTTTTAATTTTACTATAATTTGTGACCTTTCTGAACTTTCAACTTGAGAGAACTTCCCAGAAGTTCTTGTTTACGTTAATTTACTCACTCCACTTCAGTTTTATCTCCAATTTCTGACAAAGGGTATCGATAAGTACATGAATTAGACTCAATAAATAAGTTTTAAATGAATTATATTGCCACTTCGGCACGATTACATCTAATAAAGAAGGTATTAGTTGTCATACGTTAACAAAGGTCAAAAACCAATTCATAAAACATGATATTATTTAAAGAACTTGAAATGCTTTATAAATGGATATTCAAAATCAAAATCAGAAGGACTCGCCATTGAGTAATGTTGTAACAGGAAATAAAACTGAAATTTCAAATATGATGACTTGGACAAGAAACACATCTTATTTCCTGGCCTTAAATGTAGAATGGGATCTCACCCAAGTTTTAACTTCAAAATGAGATTGTCCATTCTTTAATTAACTCCATACACTGAACTACAATGTAATTTTTATTAATTAATTGTTGAAATGACAATGGATAGCCCTATTTATTGAAATAAATCTAATAAAAACTACTCCATGTACAGTAATTCATATTCAAATTAATTCATAAGGAAATATTTTTATGTGGATTCTTTGAAGAAATTAACTTGAACACATAAATTAAAGCATTTTACGCCAATTTTATTGGTCCACAAAATGTATTTATACGTGTATAACAATTCACATGACATTGACACCACAACATTAAATGCTAATTTTCAACATACATTTGCTTTTCTTGCATATATAATACTGCAAAAAGATATAAAAAACATATTCAATTTGCTCTTTCCTGTTTAACTTAATAACTCGAGTGTTATTTGTTTTAATTCTTTTTATAAATTGGGACTTTACTTCAAAGAACTGAAGAATCTTATAAAAAATAGGATTCTATTTCTGAGAAGTTGATACATTAATTTTTTTAAAAATATTTTAGAAATATTTGAATCACTTGAAATAAAACAAGTTTAATTTCTTTTTACACTCATCTAAATTCTGAAGTAATAAAGTTAAACTTAAAATTCAAACTGCATATTCTTTTACTTTAGTACTGTCTATAAGTTAACTACTTTTGGCAAATGTGTCTATAATGATATTTATAAAAAATGCAAAACCTCAGATCACAGATCTTCATATTTCAAAGCAGATAGGGAAATAATTCAATGTATAATCATTGTTTGAAATTGTCCATATTGCATCCGCAGTAGGCCTGTATCCAGCTTTTGCCCCCAGGGATTCACTGTTACAGTATATAAACCTTGATGGGGATCTTTGGCGCCTTTGGGGTATTTTTTAACATTTGGGATGGGAATAGTCCCAAATTTTAGGATCTGGTATGAGAATGACCCGATATATATAACTTCTGAAGTACGGCACTCTTTAGATCTTCTTATTTATGAATTTGAGTTTTCCCAGGAAATAGCCTAGTTTGGATCAAGTTTTGCAAGACTTCTCTTGAGTTAAATACAAAGCCTGGCACTAAGAAAATGGATTAGAAGAAAATGTCATTGGACATCTGGCATGGGATTGGTCGTATTTTTGGACATTTATGGCATTGGTCCTATTTTTGGACATTTATGGCATTGGTCCTATTTTTGGACATTTATGGCATTGGTCCTATAATGAGACATCTGGAATGGCTTTGGGGTGTTATTTACATGTACCTGCCAATTATATCATACAAATTAGTTGGTGTGGGAAGATGTTGAAATTTGACACATTTGTATGGCAACATATTGTGATATCTGAAGACTCAGCTTATAAGAACCCCGCAAAGGTTTGTATTGAGTGAACAACCCCAAATAGGATATCTTTGCCCCAAAATCACCTGAAATGTGCTCAGAATAATGAAAAATGAATGATTTTGAAAGAATTTCTGACCATCCCAAACCACCCCTGGCTACAGGCCTGATCAACATACAGAGGAGTTTGCAAGCAAATATTATGTGCTGTTAATATCGGCGCATTATAAAGCCATGTATGTTACAATGTCCAATAAAATGATCCAATGGCAATAGGTCCATGTATGTTTGTGTTTAGTGTAGAAGATCACAGTCTCACAGACAGCTTTTATGATAGCTACATATATAATATTGCACCTGCCTGTCAACAGGTGGTAACCCATGGCAACTTCAATATGGGGTGGTTCATGGATCATTGTGGTGGCTCACTGTTTAGCTAGGGCAACTAACGTGAAGTTCACCTCATCTGGGTCTCGTTCCATGAATCCTTTCACAACTGTGCAAGTGTCCTAAAATAACAGATAAAAGTTTGTTAGCTTTATATTACACAAAAACTACACCCTCCTGGGGGTTTCACTCAAATATACCTCTTAATACCTATGTGCCACGCCAAAGACGCCCTTTTAAAGCATTTTTCCATGTCAATTTCCACTCAAGATTTAAAGTATCCATGTATATTTCCTCTCAGACTTATAAAAGGGAGTAAATTTCCTGAAATATTGGTATACTAACTACAGAATCTTTTTGGGTGATTTGTCCAAGACCTCGCCAACCGATTTTAACTATGTATTACCATTTTTTGTAGAGAAACTGAATTTTCACTTAAAAAAGGCTCTCTCCACGACAAATTTTCCATGTTTTTTTCCTCTCAGATCAACCAGGTTCCATGGTTTATACCCTAAGCCAAAATTGCCCATGCTGCACATACCTACCCAAATTATTTAGAGTGAACCCCCAGGTACCCCCTTTGAAAGGTTTGATTTTAATCTCATAATTGAAAACCCCAGAGTGATGAAATTTTTCATAAAAATAATGGATTCACTCTTTTGAGAACTATGGTGACAATGTAATGCCACACAATTATTCACTAAAATTGCTCAGGCTTTGCCATTTTAATCCAGTCTACACAAATTATTCATTATTAAATATGTAGAAAGAGCTGATGCTCACATAATATTCATCAAATTTAACATCACATTGTACATGTCAAAAACTGGCAAAAAGTCATAGAGTTGAAAGAAAGCAATCAGAGCCTTGTTACCATTTGTAGCCTTCCGGATTTCAGGGTACACAACTGAAACATGCATGTCAAGTATAACCTGTCAGTCTATACTTCATAATCATGAGTACCTTGTAGGTAGGGTAGATACTTTACTAGTGGCTATAGTAAGTGACATGAGTAGAATGTCATTGTGTTCAAATTTCTTTGAAATATCATTACATAAAAATGGTAGCATGGGCTTTCAACATCTCTGATGGTACTGATGTAACGTAAGTGGGACAATTAAATCCCAACAGAAACCGTTTCCCATCTGCTGTTGTTGCATCAATTTCCAAAAAATTCAAAACAAATGACTGAAAACGGTGACTGAAAACCGAAATCATTTTGGCAATCACACCCCCCTTGACTGAAAGCTGGCTCTGCCCCTGACATGTAATGATGTATAGTGTTAAATTCCTCAGTTACTATGACTCCAAGGTCAGGGTATACGCGCCAGGTCTTATTAACCATAGTCACAAAACGAAACTAAATGCAAATGTAAAACAAGGCATTAACATTCAAAATGTCAAAAACATGCCATTTTTTACAGACACCGACCACCAAATGACAAACACCAACCACCATCCACAAATAAGTTGAAGACTATAATGTCACTACTCCTGGTGGTGACATAATAATGAAACTAGATGCAAATGTAAAACAAGGCATTAACATTCAAAATGTCAAAAACATGCCATTTTTTACAGACACCGACCACCAAATGACAAACGCCAACCACCATCCACAAATAAGTTGAAGACTATCATGTCACTACTCCTGGTGGTGACATAATAATGAAACTAGATGCAAATGTAAAACAAGGCATTAACATTCAAAATGTCAAAAACATGCCATTTTTTACAGACATCGACCACCAAATGACAAACGCCAACCACCATCCACAAATAAGTTGAAGAATATCATGTCACTACTCCTGGTGGTGACATAATAATGAAACTAGATGCAAATGTAAAACAAGGCATTAACATTCAAAATGTCAAAAACATGCCATTTTTTACAGACATCGACCACCAAATGACAAACGCCAACCACCATCCACAAATAAGTTGAAGACTATCATGTCACTACTCCTGGTGGTGACATAATAATGAAACTAGATGCAAATGTAAAATAAGGCATTAAAATTCAAAATGTCAAAAACATGCCATTTTTTACAGACATCGACCAGCAAATGACAAACACCAACCATCCACAAATAAGTTGAAGACTACCATGTCACTACTCCTGGTGGTGACATAATAATGAAACTAGATGTAAATGTAAAATTGACAAAATCCAAACTCCCAAATAAAGTGGTTTTGTTCTCAAATAACCTAAAGTAATGCTCCCAATACATGAATAAGACCAGATACTAACAACCAGATCCTTCTTAGTAAAACGTTCCATGATAACTGACACAAATTCAAGAGAGGAGGGGGGAGGTCTTCCCAATTTGTAATAGCTCCCTACTTTCTGTTTTTAATTGAAATTTTGATACACTCTCCTAGCATTACCATGTAGTGGTATTATATACATTTGACCCCTACCTCCAACAGGCTGTCTTTTGTGGTGGGTCCATGGTTAACAGGGGCCGATTTTCTACCATCTGAAAAACATTCAAACACATTAATAAATCAACAAGATTTCAACCTGACACATGTAAAATATGCAAACAAGGTTACAACTGGTTGTATATCCATCATTTATATGTATGTTTTTTGCAACACCTATGGAGCCACAAAATGCATAATAAAACCTGTATATAGTGAACATACATGGAGCCACAAAAGTGTTCAGTGAAGGTAGGTGTTCACTACACAGAGGAAATTTTAAAGTGTTGTTCACTAAACACAGGAGACACAAGAGAGAGGTGGTCACTGAGACAGGTTTTACTGTATTCATTTTAGGTAAGTGTTCACTACAGAGAGGTGATCTTGTACACAAGTCAGTAGAGTTTGTGCTGGGAAGAACTAAGACAGGTTCTACAGTACTCTAAAACAGATAGCATGTATGAGGTTAAAACAACCAAACATAATGTATCAAAAAATAAGAATTTGACAATTTGTTAAGAAAATATGAACTAACTTAGATAGAGGGCAGCACTAGACAATGAACAAAATTAAAAGGGTTTTAACTGACATCTATAAGAGATGTACACACATACAGGTTAGTGTCATTATAAAACAGTAAAACCTGTCTCAGTGAACACCTCTCTCTAGTGAAAATCTGTCCCTAGTAGACACCCAGGCCCCTGAGGGTGGAGGGGGGGAGTTCTATGGGTTCGAGCGAACCCCCCCCCCCTGGCCAAAAAATCTTTCAAAATCATGCAGTTTTTCATCATTCTGAGCACTTTTTAAGTGATTTTGGCCATTTTTGGACCAAAATTATCACAAGTGAACCCCCCTGGAATTTTTCAAAAAGTGAACCCCCCATTGGCAAATCCTGGCTACAGGCCTGACATCCTTCCTTCCCACATACTCAATGGACTTCTGTATAAATTACCCTCTCTGTAGTGAACACCTACCAGCACTGAACTTTTTTCTCAATAAATTTTTACTAACTTTCTTTAAAATTATGATGAAGCTATTGTAAATGCATGGTTAACAATTATGGATCTAATCCCTTGATTATAATTTGCTTAGATCAATGAAATGATGTAGGGCAAATTTATGCTATTTATTGCCCTAGGAGGTTCACTGTATACAAACCTTGACGGGGATCCTCAGTGCACATGGGGTACCTTTTTTGACATTTGGTATGGCAATGGCCCCATACTTTAGGATCTGGTATGAGAATTCCCCAGAAATCATGAAATTTGAGATATGGTAATGGTCGGATTTTCAACTTTCTGCTATGAGAAAAATATGTGACGTCACACTTGTGGTATGGCATTGGTCTTGTAATTACACATATCTTTAATTTGAGGTTGTTTTGAATCATTTTTCTCAAAGATCAACGTTCTTCTCAGGTCTTCTTCAGTTTGAATATTAGTTTTTTTCCCATTTGGTATATTGGTCTTATATATGAACATTTGGTATGGCATTGGTCCTATATTTGGACATTTGGTATGGCATTGGTCTTATATCTGAACATTTGGTTTGGCATTGGTCTTATATCTGAACATTTCGTTTGGCACTGGTCCTATATTTGCACATTTGGTATGGCTTTGGGCATTATTTTGGTTGGTATGGGAACACATTGAAATTAGTCAGATTGGTAAAGGAAAATATTGATATCTGAGGGTTCAGCCTAGTACCCCTGCCAAACTTTGTATACAGTGAACATATCATGCAAGAGCATAGACAGGGTTTGAAGATATATTTATGCAATTCATGTATTTTGGTGTGTCAATTGCCTCACCTGCATCAAGACTGGCTGTGTTCATGTTAATACTATTTTTGAAAATTAACCTATTTCACTTACCCATCTCATACAGAGTGCCATCACTGTGAATAAATGTAACAAAATGTAGTTTCACTTTTTCATCAATAGATGGTGCTGCTGTCTGGCCTTCCTTAGCAGATTCCTCATGCGCCGATCCAATGCACTGAAAACAGAATGATTTAAACAGCCATAATCTTAAATGATTTGGAAATGAAATTCATCTATATCTAAAATCTATATATGTGTAGAGTATAGTATATTGTGCCATGTTCAAAATGTGCCATCATCACAATGTGCCATGACCACAATGTGCCATGGTCATAATGTGCCATCGTCACAATGTGCCATGGCCACAAAGTGCCATGTTCAAAATGTGCCACTATCACAATGTGCCATGGCCACAATGTGCCATCATCACAATGTGCCATGGCCACAATGTGCCATGGTCAAAATGTGCCTTGGTCATTATGTAGAATTATTTTTGAAGATGAAGTATGTCATGCATGTTTTGGCTCCGACTATCTTACAAAAAAACCTTGATTATGTATCAGAAAACCAGCTATAGAACTACCAAAAGTGTATTACAAGTTACATATTACATACTGCGGTGTAGTCTAAACAAACACTGAAACCCGAACGGCTATTCAAGTGAGGAAGCTACATGTATTTGTATATAGGCAATTTATACGACTATGTTGCCATTTTGATTTAAATACTTTAGTCTAACTTAAATGAACAAAAATTGCTTTAAACGGGAATCCTATCGACACAGGTGCGACTATTGTTGAAATATGGACAGACAGACTATTGTTTGCAATAGTTCACCATGTGACCTAAAAATCTGTGCATACCTCATCTTCTTCCAAAAGTTTGGCACGCTCTTCAGGTGTCAGGGAAGAACTCTTGCTTAAAAGTTCTTTAAGGTGGGCTCCATCTGAAATGATGTTAGAATGAATTTTCCCCCAGTACTAGTATTTAAATTAATAAGTACAATAAACAGAATCTAATAATGTCAATTATTTGGGATTACAGACATATTCATGAATAATAAAAAATACATATAAGGAATAATATTTAATTGGAATGTAATTGTAAAAGACAAAAAGATGATGATGATCAAAAAAGTGAATGAAAATGATGATGAAGTCATAATTTTTATTGCTTGAAGTCGAACTATATCTATGTTTTTCACAAAAGCTGCATTTCAAAATGCAAATGCCTCATATTTATACATTTAAATTTAACACTTCATCCCCTAGGACGTACCTGGCAAGGTAATACTGTCTGTATTGTTGAGGAATGCATGTATAAGACCTATAGTTCCACAGGCATTTCCAATAGTTTGTTTAATGAAGTATAGGGACGTGCCAGGGTCTTGCTTCTCATTGGGGTCCCCCTCTGACTGAAAATGAGGAATGCATGTATAAGACCTATAGTTCCACAGGCATTTCCAATAGTCTGTTTAATGAAGTATAGCAACGTGCCAGGGTCTTGCTTCTCATTGGGGTCCCCCTCTGACTGAAAATGAGGAATGCATGTATAAGACCTATAGTTCCACAGGCATTTCCAATAGTCTGTTTAATGAAGTATAGCAACGTGCCAGGGTCTTGCTTATCATTGGGGTCCCCCTCAGACTGAAAATAAAACAAAATATAAGGGTAAGAGAGCGACGGAGGGGATGGAAAGATATTCTACTGAGAATTTGAAATAGTTGAGGTAAGCCATTGTGACATCCTAATCAATGACAAATTGTCAGAAAAATGTATCATACATCCAAGAATCAATCCGTGTATAAATTGTCAACAAAATCAATGTTCTACTTTTTTCAAAAATAGCAAAAAAGATAGCAGCAGCTTCATAAAACTGAAAGAAATATGCAGCATAAAATATATAGGGATGGGCAGTACAATGTAGATCTCCTATATCAATTTTGTGAAGCTATGGTTGCCGTACGCCCACCATAGTACAGCAAATGTGACTGAGGCTTAACTTACATTTTCTTTTATGGGGTATAGAAAGAGAACTGCAGCGACTGGTCTGGGAACCATGGCGAGTAGGTCTGAATCCATTCCAAAAACATCACAGAAGCTCCAATCATCAGGAGCACCAAGATTACGGACATACTAAAAATATTTTGATTAAATCATTACAATGGTGTTATACAGGGAACCAGGGAAATGATTCTATCATTTACAAAGGTTGTCTTCGTAGTTGCATGATAACATTTAATATCATAAGGTTGAACTTTTACTTGATTCTGATAATAGATAATGTTTTACAAATGTGACACTTTGGTGATCTCTAAAGTACAATCTAGAACAGATTATAAATATCACACCCAATGTTTTCATTTTTTCATATACTGTTGCAATAAAGTCATTTGATTGCTTATTTTTTAAATTCAACATTTAAAATTTTACTGTAATAGATTGTATTTACAATCCTCAGTCAGACAACAAAGACAATTTTCTTTGTTTACAACTTGCAACTCAATCAGTAATTTCAATAAAGGACTGGCATAATTAAATCACGAGACGTTAGCAGCATTGAATAAATTGTGTCGTCTGCATAAATTTTCATAAAGCCAGTCATTGTTTCCAAACCCATATTTGAAATATGCCAGCACTTTGCACCAACCTTGTTCATCACCTGAAAATAGAAAAACAACAATATTCAGTCCAGTTGATCTCACATATTTCATGCATACTTGACTTGAATTCTGAAAGATTTTATCCAGTAGAACTTCAGAAAACTGAACTTACATCGGGATTGGATTCCAAAGGTAACCATCGTTGCGCTGCCATTTTGATTAGTCACGTGATTTGCACTTCCGGTTTTGAATCAGTTTACTCATTTACTGCATGTGGCTCTAGAAGGTTTTGACAATCCTATTTCACTAAATAAAAACATTGCTGTTACATTTTAGCACCTGCTTGAACTATTCTAGTACACAATCTCTGCTTTATTTTTGTAAATGAGATCGATGAAATATATTTTCGGAAATACTTCTAGTTCGATATTCCGCCGCTAGGTGTCAATGACATTGTGAAAGAAAAGTTGTACGTTTTGTAACATCACTACAGTTTTTAACATTTGATGTGATAACATCACATCTAGAACAGTTCCTTGTAAGTATAATAAGTTCAATAGTTATTCTATGTTCGAACTTAATGCCATATGATCTAATCAAAGTCAAATTTACACTGGTCAACTTTTTCTGATCTCTGAAGAAAATTTTTTAAGTTCTGAGGCAAGGCTGTTACTCCAGCAAAAATTTAACTTTTATAATTGTTTCTCATAAATATGAATTCAGTGCTGTAGCCAGAATTTCCCAAGGCCTGGGGTTCCTTCATATTTCAGAAAAGGTGATCGCTCCTGGGAGGGTGGGGGGTTCGTTTTACAACAAAAGGGGGATTCAAAGAGAATGGGGGTTCGCACAAGCCCCTAGTTCAACGTCGTTAAACTCAATAACGGCGTTCTTTATTATTAGGAATTTTCTTGGGGCCATTATTGAGTTTAACCTCCATGCTATTCTTTCCTTTGATGCAAGTTGTGGATCTATCGAAACCATTTTTCCTCGCTAATATGACACTGATACTTAACAATAATATAAAACCACATTTCATCAGGCGATTTCACATAATATTATTGTGTTAAATGTTCATTTTTAATCGTAAAATGAGTCTTATTCTTACCAATTTATGAGACGAATATTTCAACCGGCAATGTCTGTCTGTGCGTCGCCAAAGTAAACTTGGTCAGCGAAACGAAATTGTTCTTCAATATTGATATTTATTATAACCATCCAGTATGACACGAATCTTTGCTTTATTCAAACAGCGCGTGTATTCACCCAAGTTTACTCTATTGTTATTTATAAAAACTTTAAAAAGCAATACTCGCAACATTATTGATGCATTTGATTACTGGTAATTTCAGCTCAAAGAAATATAGATGTCATTGATTGTGCTAGATTGTGATTGTGTTGAATAATTGTGCCTAAATATTAAATTATGGTAATTGTTCATGGTTTTCTGCTTGCAAAAACGTACCTAGGAATACACTCAATTGTTTATAACTGGGATCATGTATTTTACTCAGCATACATGCTTTGTAACAATTGTTACATTTTAATAACTTCAATGTGGTGATGTATTGTGATAAGATTACATGTACAGTGATCTCCCCATGTCACTTTTACCGGGGGCTCCCCCTACTTGAAACCAAAGGCCCCCCAGTTGGCACCCAGTTGGCATCTGCACTTCAACTTCTGATTTAAAGAATGAGTGAAGTAAGCACCTACACTGAGATATTGTGAGCGTAGCGAGTGCTGATTTTTTGGCTCACACAGTGAGCCTATGGGATTGACCAGGCGTCCGTCCGTCCGTCCGTTGGTCCGTCCGTCCGTCCGTCCGTCAACATTGGCCGCACAAATTAAAACTGCTATTCGGATTGAGTCATATCCACATTCATTTTATGCATATTCATAATGCCTATTTGACCTATCATCGCCATTTCCCAAGTTCGCCCGGTTTCCGAGAAATTGCGGATTTTGACGTCAAAAAGTCAAATTTTCTGTAAATACTAGACACTTTGTTGAAGTAGAACTTTCAAATAACTTTTAGTAGTGGGTGTATATGCAGCTTATGTCCTCTGAAGATTTCAAAGCTCTTGGAATTACGGTTTTTGGTGTTTACTCTATAAAATTTGAAAAAAAGTAGGACTTCGTCATTTTCAGGAAACTTTCTCATGTATAAAGTCACTGGCAGGTTTTGTGATTGACAAGATTCTTAAAGTTTGCCTTATACTTGATCATTTCCTGTAATAAATTACATCATTAATAGATTTAAGAATTCCCTACATATTTCTCAATATATGTCAGCATCAAATTTTTACCGTTTTTGAGATATTTGACGTCAAAAAACAGTAAAAATAAGTTATTTTTCAACTTGCTTCAATTTGACCAATCTTCATCTTGAAAAGCATCTACAAGTTGCCAGGAGTTCAAATCTGACATTAGTTTTAGGATTTGACCTTTACTTACCTTCAGTGACCTTCAAAAGGTCAAAAAAGTTGATTTTTCAAATTGATTTTTGGATGTAAATTTTGGTCAGCTTAATCACAAAAGACCTTACTGAGCTCTGAATAAGTAAAATTTTCAAGGTCAAAGGTCATCAAACTAGGTCACACAACTATGCTATCTAATTTTCTCAAAGTTCGAGACTACAAATCCAAATCAATATTTTTGTTTGAAAGTCAGGATATTAATTCCTCTGAAGGTTCCAACCTGTGTGAGCACAGGACCGTGGGTCCTTCATTTAGACTTGAAATCTTGCACCCAGTTGAAATTTTTTTTTGGGGAGAACACTGATGTATAAGCATGGTTGTTTTATTCCTAGCTCTTAAATGTATGATGTTCTTAATAAAATTAAACAGAAGTTTTGTTTATGCTATTTTATAAAACATATTTTTCTACAATGATATTTCATTTACTCAATGAGAGAAAAGTTAAACACATGTGTTTTATCACGATATTGGAGCAAGTAAATGTACTTTTAACCTATACTTCACACCTGATTTATCTCGATACCTCCAAATCTGATTTTTTCAAATCAACACTTTTCAGCTTTTTTCGATCTCATTACTCTAATGTTAAAAAACCTTACTTCAAAATGATGTCATACTATCTAGTATTTGAAATGTACATGTAAAAGTACATCAAGAAATATTGCTTCAAATATTGTTGATCAATTTTGAAAAATTTTTGTTTTGGAAAATGTAAATGCTACTACGGGGAGATTCAACATATAAAGTCACAAAAAGTGAAATATATTTCTTGTATTGGACAGATAATATTTTCTTTTACATTATTTTAATTTGCATAACTATGTCATGCTATGTGACCTGAATGAGCCACCTGGTGGTGGAACTGGTAACTACCTACTCGCATCTGAGTTATTACAATGGGAAATCACTGACTTTCTGGGAGAGAAAACTTTGGCACAATATATATTTAAACATGTTAAGAAAAATATCTAATTATTCAGTATCACATGCTTGCGTCTGTCCAAAGATGTTGAAAGCTTTAGCATTTTAGCCAGAAATTTACCATAATTCAGAAAATAAAACAGGAAAAAAAGTAGGAAACTTAATCATGTTTATCGCAAGCCTCCTACAGTATTACAATATTTTGTACTTATATATAGGATAACCGGGGTTCGTTTCGTTTTATGAACTTGTTTCGTTCAGTGTTGCTAACGGCGGTTTATTCCTGAAAGGATTTGCCATTTCGATGTTACCGGAACCAGAACAGAGTTTTCTAAACTAAGAAAAAGCCTTCTCCCAACATTTTCATAATTATACATCGATGAGGTTACAGGGGGGTATGTGATGATTTGTATTTATTCATAAGGTATGTATGCATGCGTTGATCACATTATTTCTGTAACGATACCATCTTATTACGGTTTAATTAGTTCCGCATGTCGAAACCTGCTGAACGATTAAATGATCGCATCAAGGGCAAAATCATCATGGAAGTTAGACCTAGCCGGGGCCATAAGACATGTCAGATAAGAAACGAGGCCCAGGCTAGGTCTAATGTTGTTGGACTAACAAGCCCCACGATCACTCTCTCGCTACGCACATGGAATTGAAACGTAATTGACAAAATTTTTCGATTCAAGGTAAATAACTACAAGAACTGATACCTTGAATATGAATATGGAATCATGTCGTTGAAATTATTTGCAAATCTACAAAATACAGTGGGGAACATAAAGAATTACTATATAGGGTGTCCCGGAAGTATGGGGCCCCCCCTAGGCAGACATATTCCAGTGTCGTCATAGTAAGTGTCATATATCATTTTAAAGCTTATCCAAAGTTACATTGATTCACCAAGTATCATGGTTCAACTCTCAAATGTGAAAAAATTACAGGCATTTCAAAATTTAGTGTTTGGTCAAAATTAAGTTCAATTTTATGCCAAATCACTAGTCAATGTGTCCTCCCGGGCCATCTTAACAGCAGCAATTCTTTTCGGGTCGGATGGATATTGAGTTGGAAAAAGAGAATGGTGAGGGTAGAAACTCCAAGGAAACTCTTCTAAAGTCCCTTAACAGGTTTTAAGAGGGTTATAAAATTCCACACTCCTATTTGAAGGGCTTTAAAGCACTGTTCCACAACTGGATGACTCTAACTGCAGTTAGCTTCATTCAAGATGGTTGACAAAATTCGTTCGTTTTCGATAAATCTCCAATTACAGCCAAACCAAGCTGAATCTTGATCCCAAAAGTTTCGCCATGCAAACTAATAAAGATTGTAAACAACCACAAATAAAGGCTCAAGCACCCGCGATATTAGAGAAATTGAAAGAAAACAGCTTCACTTAGAATGACTCTAACTGAACTTAGTGATGACGTAGGAATGAAGCTAACTGAAACGGGGAATGAAGCTAACTCAATGGGATGAATATATGGACGGCCCTGTCTGTTGTTATAAGATATCTAAATGTTATTGACTGTTGTTATTGGTTGTAACCATTTGTATTTTGACATGGAGTGAGTTTCTATTCAATCCCATGGCCGGTGATCGTAGAAATTGGACGGAGGGGGAGCAGACAAATTCTGGTAGAAATTTCAACAAATCTGGAAAATTTACTTTTTCAAGGCAAAATTTAGTTTACGATTGAATGGCCAAATGAATAGGCTTACGGTATGGTAAAATATTGTAAGTATTCTAGGATTAAAGTATATGATGTAAAAGGCGAAATGCCGCAAACGTCCGAAAGTCAATGTTTTGCTAGTCAAGCAAGAATGGTCTACACGACCTGTAATTAAAAAACTTGTAAGTGACATTATCGTCACAAAATTAATGTCATTGCTGAGCAATTAAGT